CTCTCTCTCTCTCTCTCTCTCTCTCTCTCTCTCTCTCTCTCTCTCTCAATATATATATATACCTTGATATCTTTAGTCTTTGAAAAGTACAATTCTGGAAACTTGTTATTTACAGCTAGAAAAAAGTATAGCATCTGCCAGGGTCAGAATGCAGAAAATTGCATATTTATGAGATTTCCGCAGTCAACAAGGCAATGCTACACTGCTCATGGTTCATTTTGTTTCATTTTCACATTTTCATTTCAACAATAAAAATGCTTATTTCTGAAGACTAGATAATCAGTAGGGTAAAAGGCAATGACCCACTTAGACCATGAGAAGGTAACCCTTCTTGTTGCTGGCTACTTTGTAGAACCAACCATGAGTTCTCTCATATGTTAATATAAGATACTTTTTAAAGATGAGAATGTACAAAAGACAAAGACAATCCAGTGTGTTAGCACCAGTAGTTAACTGTGCTCAACTTCAGTAGTATCATTCTGCAACTTCGAGAGCTGTATATAGAAAGTAGTTGTCTGACCTCATTGAGGAATTCCAAATTGAATGAATGGCTAGTTTCTAGGGTGTATGTCTTAGTTTAGGAGTTTTATTCAGTAACTGTGTACAGAGGATGGGGTTTTTCAGCCTGATACTTTTCAGAGCTGAGTGTACAAGAAGCGTTCACCACAGTTCTGTGAGTCTTCTAGTCTTGACTAGGGCTAGATTTTCCTGGTGAGTGATTCATTCCATCACTGCTGCTATGTGACATTCTGTGCAGTTGCAAAAAGCCATAAAGTATGATCATAAGAGGAGCCAGACAAGCAACAACTTCATCGGGGATATGAAAAGAAATAATGACATCTAGAAATCAGGTGGTATAAAGGATGAACTGACAGTGTTTTCTAGAAACGACTTGAGGTGAAGATGTAGGCAGTAAATTCCTTGCTCTGTGAGTGTGAAACCCTGAATTCTGATCCCCAGAATACATGTAAAAAGCTGGGCTTGTAATCCTAGAACTCAGAGGTAGAGAGAAGAAAATACTTCTGGCTTGCTGGTCAGCTTATCTAGCAAGTAAAAGACCCTTTTATAAAACAAAGTGGGGGAGCATTGAGAAAGAGTCATGTTACATGTGCATTCTCCACCATGACTTGCACCCCCATGACTTGCATGTGCACTCTCCACACACATGACATGTATGTACACCCATATCCAGAGATTATATATATATACATATATATATATATATATATATATATATATATGCATTGTATGCATGTATACCATATTCACACATGGCATGCATGTACACTCATATCCACACATGGCATGTATGTAAACTATACCCACACATGACATGCATTTAAACCATACCCCCAATGACATGCATGTAAACCATACCCACACATGACTTGCATGTAAACCATACCCACACATGACTTGCATGTATATCAATGCCCACATATAGCATGCATGAACATCCATATCCACACATGGAATGCATGTACACCCATACCCACACATGTTATGCATTTACACCATATCCACACACTACATGCATATATACCCATACCCACATATGGCATGAATGTACACCCATATCCATACATGTCATGCATGTATACCATACCCACATCAACATGATTTATACTGTAGAAGTGGTAAGTTTTTGCTAAGCTTTTGAATAAGAGTCAGTGTGCAGGAGAAAGCTAAGAAATCTTCCCAGAGTAATGGAAATGGCAAATGATCTAAAATATAGCAAAACAATAGTAATCAGAACAAGGGACATATTTATGGGAGGAACTTGTATCCATTGCTAGTTGAGACCTATATGTATGTATGTTGATTAGAAGTACTATTTTTAACTCAAAAAATAATTTAAAATATCTGAAATTTTTAAAAATTATGGAAACTTATATCTTACATTAAATAAAACTGGGTCATCTTTTGTTTTTTATCTTCTGTGTTCACCTTGTTTAAGCTAAAGGCCAGAGAAAGGCTTAATATGACAAAAACTAATAACTGTCATTTTCTGAGCTGGGCTCCTTGGGACATTTTTTGCAGGAGAAAGAAAGCATTGTGCCCAGATGACCTTCATTTAGATAGTTTCTGCTGACCCCTCGCCTTGACTGACTGACTGCATTTCCTTTCCTTCCAGTCTCTTGTCTTCATTTCCTTGAGTCTACTGACTCTTCCAAGGTTAATTGAGACATTGACCTCTTAGTACCTGTGTAGTCCTGGAGCGATAGGATTCTGTAAGCTCAGCAGTAACAGCCACCCAGCCTAACAGCTCAACACACAGGGGCTTGAATTGAGCTGGGGCAGAAACCCAACACCTTCACCATGAAATCCCCTGCTGCCCAGAGCAGAGGAAAGCAGTGTCTATTGCAACTCTTTCACTATTTTGCTTAGAATGACCCTTCAAAACTTTGGCCAAGTACATTACTGTTTGGGTGAATGGTTTAGGCTCCACAGACACTGGGGCCTTTTGATTTTCTGTAGGCCAGCTATATCTTAAGAACAACCATTCATGACTGTAGAATTCTGGAATGATAGTGCTTAATAGACAACTGCTTGTCTGACAGGATATTCCAGGGAATGATTTCACAGCTTTAACAAAACCCCATAGACCTCATCCCATGACATGTATCATTGTCAGGTTTAAGAAAAAAAAACTCTAGAATACTCCAGAGTTTAATACACACTATGTGAAATAAGTGTGCCTCTTCTCAAAGGCATAGAGTTCCCACTCTCTCCCTAATTGAGTGTGAGGGGGATATTCACTTGGGAATACTCTTTGATCTCAGATCCTGAAGAAGTCCATTATGGAGTCTGAGGCTATCCTCTCTCCACTGCTGTCAAATATTACTAAATGAAATTCTTTGACTTTTCCTTCTCGATCCTGTCTTTTTGTTCTTCAGGTTCTGTTTATTCAATCAGATTGCTTTTCAAACTGGGAAAAATAGCAGAAATCTCTCTTTTCCTATGTTTATGAATGCATTTGAAGACTATGTACTTTTGTTTAAAATAAATAACAGACATGCAAAGAGCTTGCAAGAAACATGAACACAGAGTAGGTATCATTATTTTGTGTGATCGTTTCTTCAGTATTTGTACTATGTGACCAGAGTAGTGGGAAGTAGTTAATCAAACGGTTTTCATTTGAGGCTTCTCGAAGCTTTGGCAGTTTTGTTGAATTCTGTTTTCCTGCAGTAACACAAATGTCCTCTGCCCCTCAGACTTTGATGAATGCGAGAGCGGAGAAGCCTGCTGTGCCCAGCTCTGCATCAACTACTTAGGAGGCTATGAGTGCAGCTGTGGAGAAGGCTTTCAGATCAGTTCAGATGGTTGTGGATGTGATGGTAAATTCCTGAGATCTCCTGGAACAACTGATGTGATATATAGTCTGTGGGTGGAAGCTTGGAAGCAGTGTTTTCATGCTGAAGAAATGTGAATTTCTGTGTTTTCACTCTGTGATATCATGTGGACCTCGGTGGCTCTAACTTTGGAGAACTCGAGATCTTCATCACTGAAATGAAGACAGTAATAGAATTAGGAAGTAAATTAAGTAGAGTTTATAAAAAAAAAAGTACAGTGCTAGCATGATGTTTGACCTAGATTATCACTCTACTAAAGGCAGCTATGGTTAAGATGATGTTCCTTGGTCCATAATGCTTTTAACAAATGTGCATGCAGAGAACAGATGAAGGAGAAGGCAACACACTGCTAATGAGACATTTCTAGCATCCTAGACCACAATTACAAAGTTAGTTGCTGAAAGCCATTTTCAAGAGGAAGAAAATAAGCGGCTTATCTTGTCACAAGAGTGATAACATGCAGCAGAATTTCTCACATGTTAACAAAGCCAAGGCCACCTCTAGATGTGTCATCTCACAAATTCTTACATTGTTAAAATTTGTACACTTCTAGGTGCTTTCTAGAATAGCTCACATTTTTCTTAATAAAGAGGAATCTTAAAATAGTGAGTATAACTAGTCAATGGTATCCCAGCATCTACTTATCCCTGAGATTTGGTCACAAACTCAACCAGCTTGGCTGATGAGGTTAGATAAAAGCCCTTGTCTCAAACAATAAGGTGGCAAGTGGCAAGTGATCAAAGAAGACATTGATGTTGACTCTCAGCCTTTAAGCACATGAGCACACACAAACATGGACACATACATGCACATATACCACAGACACACATATACCAACACATACACAGACACACACACACATACACACGAAAGAGAGACAAAGACAGAGAGACAGAAAGTCTAATAGTTCCTGTAATTCATTGTTACATCATCCTGTGGCTTCCCTCTAAAAGTCACACCAGAGTGCACTGCTCAGTCCCTCAAATATCTGTGTGTTATTTACAGATAGTTGTTTCTCTTGCTATTGGTCTCTAGTTCTACTCAATTGTGAAATGACAAGTGATGATGAATAATTTCAGTTATTTTTTGTTTGTTAAGAATTACTGTGTGGCATAAAATGTGGTCTATTTTGCAGAAGTTCTATGGGCTACTCAGAATATTTATTCTATATGTGCTGGGTAGAATATCCTGTAGATATCTATTAAGTCCATTTGGTCCATGATATAGTTTAACTCTGAAGTTTCTTTGTTCATCTTTAGTTTGGATAACCTCTCTAAACATAGGGTTAGAATACTAAAATTAACCAGCATCATTCCATCAGGACTTATGTAGTTTTAAAATTCCCATTAGATTTTGTTTTATGACAATGAGAGCTATAGTACTTAGTGTATATTTATTTATAATTGTCACATTTTTCTTGGGGAATTATTCATTTTGTTAATACATGGCCTTCTTTATCTATTTGGTCTAACACTGATTGGAAGTCTATGTTATCAGTTCTCAGAATCGCTTTATTAACTTGGTTTTGGCTTTCCTTTACTTCATAAATTGAATTCTATCACTAGATTCTCAGCCTGTGAATGTCTATGTCATTAATATGTTGCTGTGTAACAGAACTTTTTCTGGGGAGACACTACACATATGCCTACTCACACTAGCCAGGGAGCCCATGAAAATCTGAAGTATGGATACCACCAGAATCCACCATCGGTGGACCATGGGTTTATATCCAGGAGTATGGGTGAGAGGTTATTTACAGTAGAATGAATGACTTAAAGACAGCTACATCACCAAAATACACCCCAACATGGATGACAGCTCATAAAAGCTGAGAATCTTGGAGCATACTTCATGTCCTGCCAAGCGACTCTTGTTTAAACTTCTTCTAGGCAGTTGTGTTGGTTTCTGCTCCTGGACAACTGGTCTCAGTACAGAGTCTTCTTTGCAGCTCAATTTTACTCTACAGAAGGGGGCTTTCTGTTTTTATTTCTTGCTCTGACAGGAAGGGCGCTGAGTGAATCTGGTCAGTTTCAGAGACTTAATCTTTTTGAGTTGTTTACCTTCCTGCTTAATAAGGAACTTCCCCTGAAGGATGAGATGTTTCAATCATATATAGAACAGGTATAGCTCTTGGAAAAAATAGAAAGTTGAAACTTAATAGGGCCAACCATTCTGCAACTCATTTCTTGTTTAAGTCATTTACATTTAAGTTTATTATGAGAAAAGCTACCAATGTACTGTTTTATGTTTGTTTGTTGTTGCTAGTTGGATTAATTTTTGTTCTTCTTTCTTTCTTCTATTAACTTCAGTGGTTTTCTGGTTACTATATTGAACTTGATGGGTTCTTTCCTAGCTATCTTTTGCTCATCTACCCCTCTCAGAGAACTTATTAATTCTTTTCTTTTCCTAATTAAAAGTATATCCCTCCAGAAACCATAAATACCTGGAGTCTATAGACTGAGTGATGTAGAGAGAGAGAAAGGGGGTGGGGGACAGCCAGTTAAGTCCATGTGGAAACCAGAGATTGATATCAGTGTCTCTCTCAAGTGTTTTTCCAAAATATTTGTGAGACAGAGTTTCTCACTGGACATAGGGCTCATTATTTCTGTTGGAGATGTTGGCAACTGAGCTCCTAGGGTAGTGTTGTCTGTACCAATCAGCACTGAATTATCGCAGAGGTGGTCTTCAACAAATGCTGTGAAAATCATATATTCATCTGTAGCAAAAAGAAATTAAATTCATCTCTTTCTCTCCCTGTACAAAACTCAATTCAAAGTTGACCACATATCTTAATGAGACAAATGAAACTTGAAACTGCTAACAGAAGCTATAGATGAAACACTTCGAGATAGAGCCATACGAATCAACTTCTTCAGAGGACTCCAGAACCAAAGGGAACATCCAAACAATTTACAAATTAGATTAAAAGGAGTTAAAAATGCTTCTTCACCAAAAGGAAAAAAAATCATTGAATGAGAAGACAGTCTAAAGAGCAGTAAAATGCACAGCATACATCAGAGAGCAGATCAATAGCTACATTAAAAATAGCTGTCATTAAAAGTCACGCTGAGGACAAAGAAAGAGGATTTCATACATGCTGGTGAGAGGTAAAGTCACAGAGCCCTTCCAGAAGTCAGGGAGGAAGATTCTCCAAACTCTGGAGTTAGAGCTACCATGTATCAGAGCCCCACCACCCTGTATGGATTGGAAGGGAGAGGTCAATAAGTCACACAGTTCTTCACATCCATATTCATTGCTCCACTGATCACAGTAACCAAGATACAGAACCAGCCGAGGTATCCATAGGTCAAAGAATGGATAAAATATATGTGGTGCGCACGCGCACACACACACACACACAAATAAAATTTTATTTCTAAAGAAAGATGAAATCAGGATATTTTCAGAAATAACATATATAACTAGGGATCATTTATATTGAGTGAAATAAACCAGATCCCGAAGAAAGACAGTTACCATGTTTATTTGTCATGTGAATTATCAAAATTTAAATCTATTTGTCCCGTGAAGATAGAAAGGAGACAGCAAGGGGGAAGGATGACAAGGTAAGTGGGAATGGCTAAAAGGTGTGATGGGAGTCGCTACAGGGTGTGGGAGTGGCTAAAGAGAATGAACACAAGTGACAAAAAAGCAGAAGGGCAGATTCTGAACCAGGAAGTTATTTAAAAATGGTAACAAAGGGGTAGGATAGGGCAGTAGGAGAAGGTAAGAGTGAGACAAAACTTCAATGGTATATGTGTATAAGCACACCATAGTAAAATCAACTGCATTGTATGCTAACTTAAAAATGATTAAAAACTCTTGAAAAACCAAAAAAAAAAAAAAATGATTAAAAACAAAAAAGTACCTCAATATATAATTGATTTTAAGTTCTTGCTATTATTGTTATTATTATTATTATTAAAAACATTTTATTGAAGCCTGTACAAAGTTCATAATAGTACTATCTACTCCAGTAGCAGGTCAAACATATGACATTAATGTCACTGAGAAAGTGGGATTTTGTTGCTTAAAGAAACAAATCCTAAACTGTGATGGTAGCCAGGTTTTTAACTACTACAAGCCAGCCCTTCAGTATATATCAAAGAAAAACACAGTGTGCTATCTATATATACTAAACACGGTGGAGTATATTACCATTTACCATTTCCATCCAATTAACAGAGCCAACAAAAGCTGCATTTTATGCACCATCTGTTCCTAAGCAGAGTGAGCCAAGATGTGATTGCATGGCACAAATGCATACACATCCTCGGTGCTAAGGTATGCACCACATGAAGTGAAGCTGAAGTGTGGCTTCATCCAGGGACCTTCTGTGTCTCTAGCACATGAGTGACTGTATCTGAGTCTAGATTCAGTCATAAATCAGATACATGAGAACAGACTAATTAGCATTCTTCTATATCAAAAGTTCTTCACAAACCCTTGATGGAATTATGAGAAAAAAAAGTAAGTGTTCAGTCACATACTTGAGTCTAGAAGTTAGTACATTGTTGCAGACAGAATAAGGCACAGCTTGGAACTTTTGAACTTAAGTTTTATGTTCGTCATCCAAGCTACACAAACAAGGCATCAGAAAGCCTTGGTTTATGTACTCAACCTTCAGTAAACTTGTGAAAGAAAGAAGGAAAGTCACTAGGTAGACGTACCAGATAATCAGGGGCTCTGCTTGCTTTCAGTGTGGCAGAGTGCTGCTACTGATTAATGTAGGTCACATAGTGCCACAAAGGGCAGATGCTATCTAACGCTACTCTTCCTAGATGTGGATGAGTGTTTGGATGTCAGTGTGGATTGTGGCCAGCTGTGTATCAACTCCATGGGAACATATGACTATGCCGCTGAAGAAGGATACAGAATCAGAAATGATGGAAGAATTTGTCTCCGTCAGTAGTCAAGGGATCGTGCTGGGTCCTCCCTAACTTCCTTCTACCTGCTGCTATTCAACATGCTGAAGGGAAACCTTCACAGTCCTCCCTACCTCCCTCCTTCAGTGCTCTCTCCTTCTCTATCCTCTCTATCTTTCCATCTCTCCCCCTTCTCTCCCTCTCTCCCTCCCTTTTTCCATCTCCCCTTCCTTCTTTACTCCCTCTCCTTTATCTCATCACTCTCCATTACTTTTCTCTTATCTTTCTCTTTGACTCATTCCTTTTCTCCTTCCTGACTTCCTCTACCCTCTTTTTCTTTTTTCTAGCCTTATTTTATTTCCCTTGTGTTCTATCTACTGTAATTCAACCCCATGCTGGCAGCATCTGGATATTAGTACAATGGGCCTTTGAAAAGCCTGCTCAAAGCTCGTTGTACATTAGTCATCCCTGCTTGGCTGTCTAGTTAAGGCTCTCACTGTCAATGCTTGGTTGCATTTTCCTTTCTTCTATCCACACTGCTGAAAGTCATTTTCTCTCTCTCTCTCTCTCTGGCCTTAGCTTTAGACAATGAGCAGTTAGAGGAGGAAAAAGAGGGAATAGACATCGTGAGGTTTCCAGGCCTTCTGGTTCAGAGCCTACCTCAGCCATTCCCTTATTATGATACTTCTCTGACTGCTTCATATGAAGAAGACAGTGATGATGCTGATCAAGAAGCAGAAGGACAGGTTCAAGAGATGACAGCCTTGCACAGAGTTGGTGAGTAAAGGATTCATTCATTGCTCTCATCATCAGATATTTGTTAGATAACTCCAGCTTGTGATAATAGTGGCTTAGCTGGGGTTTTATTGCTGTGAGCAAACACCATGAACAAGGCAACTCTAATGACAACAACATTTAATTGGAGCTGGCTTACAGGTTCAGAGGTTTAGTCCATTATCATCAAGGTAGGTGCATGGCAACAAGCAGGCATCATGGTATAGGAGGAGCTGAGAGTTCTACGCCTTGTTCTGAAGGCAAAAAGATTGGCTTGCAGGCAGCTAGGATGAGGGTCTTAAACTCCACACCTACATTGACACACCTATTCCAAGAAGGTCACACCTCCTAATAGTGCCACTCTCTGGGCTAAACATACACAAACCATGACAAATAATTATTTAATTGCTAATTAATTAATGTAATCAAATGTTGGAATGGGAGATTTTGTAGAAAAATGGGACCAAATGCTTCAGTTTTGCAGACCTTCCTATCAAATTTGTCATCTCTTGGCTTCCATTTTTTATATAATAAAGACATAAATAGAGGTATTTGTAGAAATAGGAGTGTGGGGTAATAGGCTGTGTTGGTGGTTCATTAAGTAAAGGACCAACTACTAACCCTCCTGAGTTCAAATCTAGGATCCACATGGTGGAAGAAAATAAATCGTTCCCAACAGCTGCCCCCTGACTTCATCACATGTACCATGGCATGTGCACACACATATATACATGGTCCTAAATAAACAAACAGTAAATATATTCAAAAATAAAATAGAAACTAGCAGTAATATATTTGTGTTATAGTTCATTTATCAGAATATCTATACATGCTCCCACATAAAGAAACATCTGAATGTTTCATTATTAAGTCTCTGCTGCATTGCTTATTTAAAATCAGAACAAATATAGTTGTATGGCACAAGCACAGAATGAAATCATTTGACTGGGTTTGGAAAGAGAGAAATCCTCTTTTTTTTTTTTTCACTCATTTGCCAGTTCATGAAAGCAAGACAGGTGCAAGGCATAGCACCCAGTAGCACAGTTGTGAACATGGTGAAAGTCAGCACTGCACAGATGAGCAAGGCCCCATATCCACCCTTCTCTCTCACACCAAAATGACAAAACATGAGCTCAAGTATAAACAACTAAGTAAAAAATTTTCTCTATACTTACTCAGGTTAGGATGATCTCCATCAAGAAAAGAATGGAGATGTGAATTTATTGCACTTCAGTAGGAAATAGGAAACTATACAGACAAAAAAGATTTGCACACAGGATGTGGAAGAATACGGCAAACATATCAACAAAAGAAACCTGACCACCAAAGTGTTCACTCTACAATTCTATTTATAATTCATTCAGAAAAAAAGTATGGTGTCAGAAATTATGATAGTCTTTTATTTAGAGACTAACAGCTTTGACATTTTAGGTGGCAGGTAATATGTTATATCTTGATCTGAGTTTGTAGGCTGCTGAAGGGTATATTTGAGACATGTGCATCATTACATATGAATGTTACATTTCAATAAAAATTCACTTTAAACACTATGTATAGAAACATTTATCTAAAAAGGAAAGCATTAACAAGCATGGGCTATCTGCCCCTGTTCTAGAATAAATCATAGGCCAGACCTATTGTTCTTTTATAGCCCTTTAAGGATGGGAAAATAATCTAATACCATATCTGACAGAAATAAAATCTGTCCTATGTTGAAAGATATTTCTTTTCTAATGTCCTTTTCTGGAATTTTTTTTTGGAAAGATACCTAATCTGGTTTTATATGGGATTAAGAATTTTGTTTTGCTTATGGTTACACATGTTACCAGGAGTCAGCTTACCTGGTTTCTCATGGCAGTCTGTTTAGGTGGCACCTTTGGCTGGGACTGCAGCTTGAGCTGTGAAGATTGCATGAATGGAGGGAGATGCCAAGAAGGAAACAGTGGGTGCTTCTGCCCAGCAGGATGGACTGGCCTCATATGCAATGAAAGCAGTATCCTAAGAACTGGGGGAGAGCAGCAAGCTCCTGTGGGTGAGTTCTCCTCAACAAAAGCACCCTAAAATTTACTGATCAACTATCCAGTAGGAGATCCTAATATGTTCATTGTATGTAAACAGTGCTGGTGAATGCTGGTGTTTGTATATTGAATATATAATAGCATGGGAAGATTCTGTATTCTCAGGGGAAGGCAGTGTTCCAAATCACGCTAAAACATAAAACATAGAAATTAGTAAAGGCTCCTAATAAGGCCAGTCTTATGAAAACCCTGCACTTGAATAAGTCACCAGCACCTGGCCAGCTATTCCCAATGGAAAAACAAGGAAGCATTTGTGTTACAAAGCACAGTGAATTTGCATAAAATTTTAAAAATCAAAATTGTTTAACTGGGCTTGCTTCTGTTGTTTACCCCAACTCCCCTTCTAAAAAATTACATGAACATAGCCAATGGTGATGGTTTAATCTTTTTATATAAGTCTCTTAAGAGAAGCTATCAAAAATTTAAATATGATGCAAACCAAATATCATTTCATTTGTGTTTTAAATGAAGACAGCTTTTAGGAGTTGAAACTTCCACGTGATAAAATGAAATATATTGAGTTTTCTTCTCTCTTTTTAACTTTCTCTTATACTTAAAATTATGTGTCTTTATGATTATGTGGAAGATGGTGTGAGCAGATTTTTCCTTTTAGCTCCCTCTGTGAAAGACAAAAGGGCAGAGATATGTTCTACTACATGGCCAGGCACAGGACCCAAGGTGACATAGTGACATCTTTTGGCCAGCATGACTCCTTCAGGTCTTTAAGTTGTTTCCCAAGAATCCCTGTGATCATGTTCTCTGCCACTCTCAACCTTTTAAGCAGCCTACTTTCTGTACATAAGATGCATACTTAGTCATGAGGAACCTTCTAAAATCAGGTTCTCATAAATCCCTCTCATTTTGTAAAAACTTTATTGTTGTCTTTGCCAACTATTGACTATTTCTAAGAATTTAAACCACTGGCCAGTTCATATTCTGCACTTTTAGTTCAATGGCTTCTGTATTAAAGGATCTCTGAAGATCTATTACTGCCTGTCACATGATGCTTTACATGATTCTGCAGTCCTCTGCAAGCATTGATCTTTTTAGAAGGTGTGGAGCACTCTCTCTATTGTATTGATATTCTTTCTCAGAGAGTGTTCTCTTTGGTAAGGTCCAATTACTTATTTGTCGTAATGTACTCTCTACTGAAATGTCAACCACATCAGTATGGAGAGGACAAAACTTGGTGGAGACCCTCAGTTATAGTGACTGTTAAGTTCACATATTCCATAGTGTAAAATGTATATAATGACATCATATGAATAATACAATATAAAGATTTGTTTTATCATGCAAAGCCATTGATATATACATATGACTTGACCACATGGTCCTTGTCACGGTAGCATAAGAAATAAAACTAGATAATCTACTCCTGAGGCATCTGAAAAAAATCACTGATACAAGTATTAAACTAATTGAAAGAGCCAGTTGATTAAAAGACAAGACATCCATGTCCTCAGACTTGAAATACCTGACAGATGGCCTGAGTGCTCACAAGACCTTCTCTGGAAAAGTCTGTTTCAGAAAGCCTAGGCTAAGAATGAAGACAGAACAACCCAAATAAATTCACCGATTTCACCTTATTCTTCAGTTAAAAGGAAGCAGGATATTCTTCTTCTTTTTTTTTTTTTTTTTTGGTTTTTTGAGACAGGGTTTCTCTGTATAGCCCTGGCTGTCCTGGAACTCACTCTGTAGACCAGGCTGGCCTCGAACTCAGAAATCCACCTGCCTCTGCCTCCCAAGTGCTCGGATTAAAGGTGTGCACCACCACCGCCTGGCGGGATATTCTTTAAAATCCATATAAATTGAATACTTTAAAGAGGACTGTCATTTTAAAATGCAACCAAGGAATTTAAAAATAGACTGGGCAGGAGTCAGGACCCTGAGGCTCACCACTGAGTGGATGATTATACCAGTAGCTTCAGTGGTCAACTATGAAAATATTTACTTAGACTTCTCAGGAATTACTTCAAAAATTATACAGAAATGATTTAGGTATCACAGTGTATTGTTTAATTTCAACATCAGAGCTTTTTATCACTACGACTCTTTTGTAGAAACTCCATGTTGAAATCACTGAACACTGTTTAATTACCTAATAAAAAGGAAAGAAAGAAATAATTTTCAAAGGCACGGACTGCTGATGAACAGGAAAGCTAGTGATGTGTTCCAAGTCCTCCAGCTTCATTTTAGGACATGTTCCTGTTAACAATTTATCCTCTAAAGTCTTTATCTTATATTATGATAATAAAATATCTTGGAAATATTCTACTTTGGGGAAGGTGGAGTCGAGGAGCAGAGAATCCCATTGATCCACTATGTAGATGACATACTATAGCCCAGATATGTTGAAAGCCACTGTGAATTCTCTATTTTTGTTTTTAAAAACTGTCCCTTCTATAGATGCTGGAAAATTACAATGTTATACTACACATAAACTAACAATATAAAACTCAACAATTGTTTGCTCCCCAATATCTTTCTCTTTTCTTACTTTTGCTACCTTTTTCCTTTTTACTATAGAAGACTAGGGCATGAAATTGAGGAAAAACAATGGATAAGCCTGATAGGTAGAATGCTTAGTTAGAATTCACAAGGCTGTGAGTTCAAATACTAACATTATACAAACAAGCAGAGTAGAGCTGTAACCCCAGCATTTAAGGGGTAGAGGAAGGAGGATTAGAATTTTAAAGTCATTATGAGTTCAAGGTCAATACTGAGTACATTAGACCTTCTTTCAATGACTAAAACAAGGAAAAAAGAGAAAAAGAAAAGAAAGAAATGAAAGAAAATAAAGATACTGGGAAAATAGAAGATGAATATGAAGCTAAGCTTCATATGATAGTAGGAGGCTACTACAAGAGAAATCACGTGGAGCTTTGAATAAAATTGGCTCCCATAGGTCCTTAGGGCATGGCACTATTAGGATGTGTGGTCTTGTTGGAGTAGGTGTGGCTTTGTTGGAGGAAGTGTATCATTATAGGGTAGGCTTTGAGTTCTCAAAAGCTGCCTAGTGGCTCATAGTTCATTCCTCCTGCATGTGGATCAAGATGTAGAACTCTCAGCTCCCTTTCCAGCATCATGTCTGCATGCATGCTACCATACTTCCTGTCATGATGGTAATGGACTAAGCCTCTGAAACCGTAAGCCAACCCTATTTAAATGTTATCCTTTATAAAAGTTGTTGTGGTCATGATGTCTCTTCACAGCAATGGAAACCCTAACCAAGACACATAATAAGTGTAGCTTGAGAATAAAATTTATGGTAAAATATCAACTAAAACAGCTAATAAGATTATCATGTTAAAGAAAGTCCCAGTTTCTTCAGTGTACATTTCTAAATACTTGGCACTTCTAAAAGAATCAACAAACAGACAAATTTGTTGATTACTTAATTTCATCAAATTCTGAGAATGCAAAATACCATGAGAGCCCACAAGAGAACTCAAGCCCCCAAGTTCCCAGGAGCACTCTAGCTGTGTTCATTGCTAGTTTTAAAACATGTCATTTTTCTTCATGTATTTTTTTCTTCATTTTTCAAAGTAGAATATGTAGTTTGTTTCTCAATAAGGTTGCTTATAGTTATTCAACAAATATGACTAGATAGTGTTGAAACCATGAGGATTACAATTTAAGGAATAAGGTCATAACTATTTGAACCTTGTTAGTATTTCTTTGCGTCATCATTATTTCACCAGTTATATCATCTGAATTTTCCCCAGGGGTGATTAAATCATAGAAACCAGGACTATGCCAGAGTTTTACCCTGGGTCTACAAGGTACTAATAATTCAATTACTTGGTAGTCCTCCTAATAGAAAAATCATCTCTCATTCTGACTTATCCTTCTGGCTCCTCTGTGTTGGACAGGGTGTTCTGTCACACATTTACCTTTCCTAATTCACTCACACTTTGTTTTACAGATGCTAACAAAAATGAGTTCACAGGCAACTGCAATTGTCAGAACGGAGGCATCTGTGATCCTCAAACTAGACAGTGCCAGTGCCCTCCAGGTGTTTATGGGAAGATGTGTGAAGAAGGTAGGAATGTCCTGTCAATAAGATGTGCTACTGATAATTTGGAGGTTTGGAGGAGTAGAGTTTCAAACAGAAATGAAGACTTCAAAGGCTGTGTCTATGTGGACAAGAATAAAGTTACTTTGGCCATGGCAAACATAACAGAACAAAATAAGAGGCACTTGGTGTGGGTTTGAAAGAGAATGAACCCCATAGGCTCATATATTTGAGTACTTGGTTCCTAGTTGATGTATTCTTTAGGAAGAAGTAAGAGGTGTGGCCTTGTTAGAGAAGGTGTGTCACTGGAGATAGGCTTTGACATTTCAACAGTCCATGCCAGGTCTGGTACTGTCCTCTCTTTCCCTTCATCTTAAGGATAAAATGTATTCTCTGAGTTACTGCTATGCCACCTTGATTGCTGGCCTACCGCAATGCTCCCAGTCATGATATCAATAAAATCACCCTCTGAAACTGTAAGGAAATCCCCAGTTAAATGTCGTTTTTATAAGTTGATTTGTTCTTCTTCACAGCAATACAACAGTAACTGTGACACTTGGCTGGCTGTGATATAAGCAGAATGAATCTTGATACAAGAAAAGAATTTGTTTTCTTACCAAAAAAAAAAATATTGGGCTCCTGAATGTGGGTCCGGAAGTAGGGCCTGAGGAGAACTCATCTTTTATAGAGAACAAAAAGAGGAGAGTAAGGCTCATGTGAAAAAAAGTAAAAGGGGATGAAAACAGAGCAAGAGAGGAAGAAGAAAGAAAGGGAGATGAAAAAGTATGCATGGAGCTCACAAAATGCCAGTGACAAATGTGTATAGATTCTTCATGGAAACCAATGAAGAAGCCACATTTCCTCCATTGGTTTGGCAGAGCTCAGTTGCTAAAGACAGAAAGATAATAAACAAAGTATTACCCTGAGTTTCCTAGAGTTTCTTGGGAAATTCATTAGGAACAGTCAATGAGAACATGGAAATCAAATGTACTTTCCTTTCTGGAGTGTAGGAAGCCTCCTGCTTACCATTAAACTTCTTATCCCTACAAGCAATATTTGCATATATATATATATATATATATATATATATATATATATATATATGCTCAAATGTTTGCACTGAGCTCTGCCGGGAATGATGACACTGTTCCAGAAGTCCTACCCTATGGAAGTTGTGATCTAGTTCAAGACAGACATAGATTACAAATGTTGATACAATGAATTGAAAATTAAACAGTGATGCATGATTGGGCATAAGACCATAGTACCATTCAGACCCTGGCAAGCAGATATTTATGAAATAGTAAAAGAGAGAAATCAGATGAGGCAATGTGGGAAGAGGGCATTCCTGAGAAGGATGTAAAGCTGTGTGGTATGTCAAGGACCTCAGAAAAAGCAACCACAAATGCAGAGCATGGGTTCTGCTTCTGCTAGCATACTGGCTTAGGTGCCCAGTTTGGAGCTTTTAGTTTGTAGCATTGACGAGCTATGGGCTGGGGAAGCTTGCAGCTCTTCAAAGTAGGCCTGGAGCAAGAATGTGAAACACCATGTATGTTGGCCTACCCATGGCCCCTCGTCACCCTCTCATATCCTACCCCATGCTTTCCTGCACCCCCACCATTGCCTATTGGAGAAGGTCATGTAGCTTAGCAAGCAGGATGTGCTCCCTGTCCTCTGTATGCATAGTAGGTGTGCTCAGCACCCTGGCCCTGGCCAATGATTTACACTTTCCCCAGAGACCCCTACCCACTTCCCAAAGCAAATAGACTTTGTTCTCTCAATTAAAGGAGCTGTCCCATTGAAGCTGCTTCCCAAGAGTTTGTTCTCATCTTGCTCACTTGCCACCTGAGGTTTCCATTTCCCCTTGCTCTCCTTCTGAAGATCCACCAACTGTGAGCCACTAAGGGTGAGGAAGCACAGTGGAGACAGGAGCTACAGCAGGTCATAGTAAGATTTCAAGCAGAGGATGCAGAATCATTATTATACACTTACAAAAAAAAAAAAAAAACCTCATTAGTCTCTATTTAACCAGAGTGAAAACATTGTCCTCTTTGTGCATCTGTGTGCTTCTGTGTGTATTGCAGATACACATTATGTAAGTACGTGGGGACATCAGAAGTCAACCTCCAGTGTCATTCCTCAGTATACTATTTACCTGGGTTTTTAAGACAAGGTGTGACATAAATTGAATTATACCTATCCCTGCCTTGCTTCCAAATGAATGAGACTCAGAGAGTATGATCTATTTATTTAGCTTTTGTGCAATTAATGGGGGATGACCCCTAATCTAATTCTCTAATGCTAGACTAGCTGCTTCCCAGCTGTGCTCCTCAAATACTTCCTGTTTGTATCTTCTCAGGTTATTTCTGCTCTACCAGCCTGTTCTCAGGCACCATTTGGCTTGGCGCACGCTCCTGGTCCATCTTATCTAATGAAGAGCTACTGTTCCTTCTGTTTTCTTCATCCTTCACTTTTTCTTCTTTTCTTTTCCCCTCTTGGTCCCTACCTGTGACCTCCAGCCAGGTAACTGAAACCACTCCCCCCGCCCCCGCCTACTTCTATTCCCTCCAGTAATTGGCTGTAGCACCTTAATTTAACCAATAGTTTTAAATTTAAAGATTGCACAACAAAGGCTTGTATACACTGGAATTCCCTTGTCTTGGGGCAACCAGATCCTCTGGTACAGAATTTAGCGTTTGAATACATAGCAACATCAGACCAACCCTGAACAATAGGGTTTGGGTTTTGGTTTTGCTTTGTTTTAGAAAAGTTGTCAGTATGTAGACCAAGCTGGTCTAGAATTCACTACATAGTCCAGGATGGCTTTGAACATACGAACATCTATTTCTGATAATGAACTCAAGTCCTCACGTTTGTACCATAAGCACTTTTCTAAATGAGTTATTGACTGAAACCTGGACTTTCTTAAGCTTCATATATATATTCATATGTATATTAATATATTATATATTTAAAATATATATCATATATATGATATATTTAATAACTAAAAGCCAGAGATGGTAGATGACTACAAAGAAATCTTCCAGACACATAGCAGCAGTGCATATGAATTCATAGCAATTGAGACAGCATATCCAAGACTTGCATAAGCTCAAACCACATATAATCCCAGCATGGAAAAAGGATGTGGGTCTGAAGTCCTGGCCCTAGTGAGGAACTATTGTTAATTGGTAACTGCTAGGAGAACTATGTTTTTAAAGTTTGTGAACTCTAGTAGTTCCACCAAGGTCCAGTTGAAGATCCCACATCCAACAATGCATGAGCATCACAAATTAGACTTGTTGTTTTTAAGAGAAAAGAAAAAGATTCTACAAAATTGGAAGAAAGATGAATTTGTGGAGAGTTGCAAGAGAGGGTGTGAATATGATCAACACACATTGTAGGAAATCCTCAAAGTACTGTCAAAAAGGTTTATTTTTATTTTTATCCATTTATGATCATATTTTGATAATATCTATCCAGCACTACAACCTCATTGCAACTCTACCAGAATATCCCACCTCTCTCCCTCCGAACTTCAAGTCTTCCAGTGCATACATTTAGTATTACCCATATGTGCAAGGGTATGTGGTCATCTGCTGGGGTACATCAACAACCTACCAGTGGCCAACTCCCCAAAGGAGAGTTACTGCCTCTCCCTCAACAACCATCAGCTGCCTACAGCTCCTCAGGTAGGGGTGGGTACTCAGGATTCATATTTTATAAAGGAAGGTTGTAGCAATTTGGGCCTGTGAGCTAATCTTTACTTTGTTTCCATACCCCACAGGATGCCTGAAAGGGTTCTTTGGGAAGAACTGCAAAAGAAAATGTCATTGTGCTAACAATGCACATTGCCACAGGGTATATGGTGCCTGCATGTGTGACCTAGGGCGCTATGGAAGATTCTGCCATCTTAGTAAGTAACAGCTATGATTGTTCCCTTTGTGAAGCACAGTGGCTTAGAATAGTGTGGGGACAGTTCAGCCAAAGGTCAAAAGGAAAGAAATTTAGTTCATCTATTCAAAAACACAAATATTTTATTCTGATCTTTGGGCTCTTTAAATTACAAAACCTATATTTTGATGATTAAAACTACTTCCAAATTTTAAATGTTTGCGATTTTATATTTTATATATTTAGGTATTAAGTGAAAATTGTTAGATTGTTTCAGTAAACAGCTGACACTTTATAGGAGCTAAGTGGGAGGAGTCTGAACTTATAGTCTGGACACCAATAGTGTCTCTTTGTCTAGTACAAAACACTATTACCCTTAAAATTCAGCACAACCCTTCTGATTGCATTGTGACCATGCATGCAAAAAGACATGATTACCCAAAATATCTGAGTTTGTAAATTCAGCCCCAGTTTCCACAGTTTCTTCCTGGAGTAACACTGAGGGACCTTCCTCCAACCTTGAAGCTAAGATCTGTGAACCTGAAGTAAACTCAGCCCTTCCTGCCCTCTCTCATCTGTCCTACCACAACTTGTTACAAAGGGACTGGGTCCTCTGAAGCTTTCTCCTAATGAACATTGGTGTCTTGAGGCTGATTAGCCTGCTATGAAAGAATACCATAAAGTGGATAGGTTATAAAAATAAGTGTATTTAATTCTAGAATCTGAGGGTTCTACAGAGCTTCTCAGGTATAATGCTTTAGGAGAGTGGTTCCTAGATACTGCCAATCATGGCATCCTCCTATTAGGAGGACAAGCAAATCTACTTTAAGTCTTCCTTACTAAAGCACTAATATCACACATAAAAATACTATCTCCTGATTTAATAATGTTATTAAACTCCCACCTTCAAATAGTGTTTTCCAAAGAGATTAAGAGTTCATGATAACTGCTTGATGAAGATATTAAGATTCCTACTGCTGTTATCAAGGTACCATGACCTTCTGTAGTTTATGATTTACCTTTAATTGAATGTTCAAAGGACTTGCATACTTAAGAAAAAGAATGTCTCTGGACAAAAAGCATAATAAATTATGACCACATTAATAAGAGACCAAGCTAATGACTCATAATAAACTGAGTGTGGATTATGAGAAAACATTAAGTGTAGCTAAATAAAGAAGAGAAGGTAGAGAGCCATTGATAGCTACATAGTAGAGGTATAGACGATATGTTCTAGAATATCATGCCTAGAGAGGAAAACTAGGCTAGTCACAAAGATCGTATTATTTTTGTTGTTGGCCCTGAAATGTAGCAAGGTATATCCAATATGAAGTAATAACTTTTGAATATCTGACAATATCAGATGTTTGAGCACAAAAATTAAATTAGTACATCTGGTCAAAGAGTTTGGGAAGCTCATAATTCAGCAACAAAATTGACATTCTAATATCTGAATTTTAGGCTCACATATTTAAATTCACTTACCAGCTGTGAAAAGTAGAGACTTGGAAGAAAACCATCAAACATATTTGTTGCTTGTGGTGGTGGTGGTAATGCTGCTGGCGGTGGTTACAGTAGCATACTGCTGATAGTGGTGATGGTGGTGGTGATGCCCATTCACTTCTTGAATGTTACCCTCTTTATGAAGAGTACACACACTCTAGTTGTTCTGGATATACTTATGGATGTCACTTGACTAAGTCTGAGGACCTCAAGTCCTACAATTAATCATTATTTTTCTAGCCACACAAAGTACTAAAAACTGAGTGCCTTAAAATAGAAATCTATTGTCTGATAGTTCAGGGAACTGAGAGTTCAGTTTCAAGGTGTCAATCATTTTCTGGTCCTCTAACAATGTTAGACCTGTCCCAGGAGTATTGTCTCCTGTAGGTAGGTTCTTCTGTGGCAGCATAATATCCATCATTGGTGCTTTCACCACAAGCAGTCCCCTGGACAAATCCATCAGTCTGTAAGCTCATTATGTAGATTGGGTTAGAAATGCATCTATCTCAAAACAACCTAATCTTAAATTGTATCCTTGATGTATTCAGAAAGAAAGTCCAGAGAATTAGGACTTTATAATATAGTGTTAGGTGTTTTATTTTGATGTCTAGCAACCCCTGAACAGATACTGAATTACCCACAGAGATTCTTTCTAACCTTTCTTTTTCTCCAAACCAGTTTCTAAGCAAATATCCTAGGACAAAAGACGAGCCTAGAACAAGACAGACCATATACTTGGGAAGTCTGATGCCATTCATAGAACTTGAAGGCCATAAAAAAAATCACTTGCTATCAAAATTGGAACAAATTTTTAAGAGTTCACAGGATCCTGTTGATTGTCTGTTTGGCTTCAAAGATTATTCTCACTGTTCCTGGCAACCAGAACTGAGATTTGTTTTGAGCCATCATAGCTACTACATTGAATGAACTCTACTATGTCACTTCTAATCCTCAGGGGAGACCCACAACTCATTGCATTTTCTGCTGGCAACATTACAGGGCAAAGCCTGTCAGGGCACACCAAATGATTACTATGAGACCAGGAGCACCTTAAAGCATACTTCATTTAAGAAGACTCTTGAACACTGATAACGGGGAAACAAAGTAACTGTCAGAGCTATGTTTTGGAAAGGGAATTGAGCTGTTCTAAGAATTCAGCAGGAAGGGTGGGAAGGAAGAAGCAAGGGAATTCGTGAACTGTGGTATACCATCCTAAACAGAAGGGCAGGCTGTTTTCAGGTTAGCATTTCAGTCCTCATTGCATCATCTCTAAAACTCAATGGCCTAGGGAGAATAAAGAAGACAGGGCGAGCAGCTCTTGCCACAGAAGTGGGCAAGATAATATCGCTGTCACAATGGAAGCTTTGTGTAATCTGTGTGATGTAAAATTATTTCCGATTACCATATAATGAGGTGGAGTAAGGACAATGGCCAACCTTCACAAAAGTGCTTGTCCATCATCTCCAGGCTGCAGCAGGATGATGAGGAGGCCTGGCAGCCAAAGCAGTCCTTGGAGAATATTAAGTCCAGGCAGCAATAAGCACGTTTGAGAAGCAATCGCTCTCGCAGCATCACTGCAGCCTTTTAAGTAATTCAGGCTTCACTGTTCATGTCCAGTTGCCAAAAAGCAAATGAATTGCCTGATTTGAAAGAAATTTGTTCCCTCAATTTTTTTCTGGCAGTCATGATGATCCCCTTATTCTCCTTATAATCAAGCTCCAAAGAATGTCATGCCTATGCACTAACAAATTCAAATAAACAAAGCATGGTTTTCAGGTGACCAGTTTGCTTCAATCTGCTTGCAGGCTGTCCCAGGGGAGCCTATGGAGCTGGCTGTTCTTTGGAATGTCAGTGTGTGGAAGAGAACACCCTGGAATGCAGTGCCAAAAATGGTAGCTGCACCTGCAAATCTGGTTACCAAGGCAACAGATGCCAGGAAGGTACAATCTGATGATGGATTTTTTTTGTGCTTCTGGAATAATAATGATCGTACTTTGTTCAGCACTATTTGGTCATTAATTAGTTAATCCACACCACTGTCATTGGAGATGGGGAGGCTGCATTGATCTCCTGTTGGTGGTAAGGAAACTGAGGCGTGAGTACAATACAATTATTTAACCTCACCTTCTTGGCCTCTGCTCTCAGAATTCCCCCTTGCCAGCCTGAGCAAAGGAAGAAGATCGCACATCTTAAAATTATATCTGGAAACAATTAAAGCTCAATAGCATAGACTCATCAACCAAGACCATGCCCTCCTCCAGCATGAAAGACTTTCCTTTTCCTATCTAAAAGCCAATCATCCAAACAAATTTATTAATACTTTCTTAATACTGATCAACTTAAATATGGATACCAGTACTGTCATTTCTCAAATATCTAGATATCATATAATTTTAGACAAATATACAAGCAAAAACTATGATTCCAATAATAAGAAACATGTATAGATATGTGTGTGCAGCTTCATGTGGAATTTAGGGAAATGCTATTCCAATCTGTCAGCAAGCCACCCTGGCTTGTAGACTCCATGAATACTTGTTTATGTTTCTGATGTCTAGTCACCTTGTCACTGACTTCCATTGATGCCACTTCTTAAGAAGGCAGTTTTCCTGGAGTTCTTTTTGTCGCTCAATAGTATGTCTCATATTCTAATCTAGCCTGTTCACCCATTTCTATTGTGTTTAATACTGACTGCCCATTCTCTTGCTAGAATCCAGATTCCATGTAGGCAGTATATCTGTTTTTTTCTTCTAGTGTTTCCTCATTTCTGCAATAAAGACAGTGGTCAGTAATTCTTTGCTTAAATCAATAAATGTGTGGAGTTCATTTTTATTGCTTACATACTTTTCATCATGTACTAGGTATTCTTATTCAGGAAAAAATTGTCACAGCTTTTTTGGCTCTTTAGTGAAAAAAAATGCACACATATGACAAATAAAAGGATCAGAACCAGTGGTAATTTGTGACATCATTTGAAACCAGAAGAAAACAAGAGGCTTAGATGGAGTTCACTTAGTGGCTTAGTGTTGAGTTCACTCACAGAAGCAGAAGAATTAAAATTTGTCTTTGCATACCTTATACAATCATTTTGAGAAGTACTTTCAGCCTGCCCTGTGACTATAAAACTGTAGCATCTGAGCAAGCCAAGCAGGTTATTTTGGTGGCTAGATTGTGACTCTCTAAGCAATGAAGAAAGGAACTTGAGGAAATGTAAGTCCAATCTCAAGCAAATGTATTTAATACAAGAGTGGGTCTCATGCCACCCTTTCAACCACTGTCCTGATTTTTAACCCTTCTATTCGTGTCCCCATAAGATGTCCTGTTCTGGAAGTAAACAGTAAATGCACAAGGGTATAATACTATGTACACACACCTGGGTTAATTTAATTTATTCTGGCAACATTTTCTTAAAGAAACTGCTGCATATACTATATTGGAAAATGCTCCTGAGTTCCCCACTGTGAGAGAAAATGAGTTGAAAGTATATGTAAATCAGCAAAATAGAGAGGTCACCATAATCTCTGGAAAACATATTATTTTTCAATCAGATAACTTTGTCTGATTCTGATATTTTTGTCTAGCTATGAAATGAAATTATGAATAAGACGAGGGCATATGAATGGATCACTGTGATTGGCAGTTGAAATCAAGGCAAAAAGAGCCCTTTAAGAGTTGTGCAAGATGAAAATCAGGCCTGTTGTTTTTCTCTCTGCGTCTAACGCTCTGCAGTAGCCCAAGTGCTCTGAGAGCCAGACACATCTTCAAAAATCCTACCCCCAGGCCTGCGTCTGAATTGCATATGAATAGTCAATTAAGCACTATTTCAGTGGCACAGAAGAACAGAGCCCTAAACAATCAACACCAACCTCAGTTAGCTTATCAGTGAAAGCTTCCAAAACCAGAATCACCACTTTCTTCCAGTAACCTGTGATAGAGGAAGAAAATCCACTTAAAAGCTGCCTCTGTGTCCTGGATAAAAGTTTGTATTCTATGCATTTAGACCCTGATACAGGCAGATCTCTAAGTGTGGAGAACCCAGTAGTCCAGTGACCCCTTACCCCCATTAAGCTCATTTTAGAAAACCTTTGTACTATCACAAGAAAAATAACTCTTGATTCAAATAGTTCCAAGGCAGGCAAGTTCAAGTTAGGAACCATAGTGAGTTTCTCAAAACAGCTCAATTGTCTCTGAGTGGTCCAGAGTCTCTTGTGATGGGAACACTGAACTCTAAACCTGTAAGACTTAGGACTAACTTTCAACTTTGCTGCGTCACCCCATAAGCCTCATTTTAATAGAAGCAAAAGTTGTGATTGATGTGTGTGTGTGTATGTGTGTGTGTGTGTGTGTATAAATATGATCTCATTGTATGACAATATCTACAGAGGGTATGGCTGCCAATCTGGTTTAGACATCTCGGAAAATGGCAATTCTGCTATTTAGAGACTCTGCCCACTAAAAAAGACACATCACAGCTGAGCACAGTGGACTGTAACTTTCTACCATTGGCAAGCATTTAAAAAAGTTTTCTTGTTTTCTCTGAGTTCAGAGGATACTTTCTCCAGTGTTTCTAATTGTCAGGATTTGGATCATGTGTCGTCTCTAAAGGGCCCATCTGCCAATAGTATCTATTACTTGTCCTTTTCCATCAATAGTTCAAAGGAAATGTAATAGGACAGAACCCAGTTTCTCTTAAGCCATGTTAGACACTTTACAAGGCTGTGCCTTCCCTAGGCTGCTCTTAGAGAGAGAAGCGAACCCGGAGAGACAAGTGGAAAAGAGGCTAACATTCAGAGACAACCTTCTGAGAATCTTTTTACAAATTATACCTCATTTTCATGTTTGTTCTGTACAAGTGCCTCCAAAGGTATATCAAAATGCCTTCTATTGTTATTGCCCCAAAAAAACCAAACCAAAACAAAAAACCCACAACACATTTTCAGCAACAGGGGAAAAAAAGAGAAAGAAAAAAGGCAGCTACTAGATCTGTGTTTCCAAAGTGATGGACACAGCCCTGTACTGATTTCTTCAGGGAATACTCTTGGAAGTGCTATAAATCCTCAAAGGCTATTGAACATTTCTTTCTTTGCAGCACACCACACACACACACACACACACAGAATTTGCCAGTTCACTTAGGCAACAGTGAAAGTAAAACCTGCAACCACCTTTCTCTCTTGTTCTTATTTTACAAGCCTGCCTTAATGGCCTCTGGGGACTGGAATGTCAGTTCTCCTGTGGACTTTGAAAATGGAGGTCACTGAAACAGAAAGTCTGGAAAGCATGACTGTGCTGCTGGTTACACAGAAAACTCCTGTGTCATGCATAAAAGTAATAAACACAGATAGGATGAAGATTAAAGTCAAGAATTTACTAGCTATATAAATGCTGTGTGTTCCTGAGCTCCTGCTCAATATACTGTTAGAGGCTATTTGACTAACTGTTGTTGCAATGCTATTCTCAGTACTTGGTGGCTTTAAGTGATAATTTATTGTTCTCCTTCATTCTATGCTTTGTCAAGGTGGGTCAACTGGTCTTACTGCTGTTACACATATATCTATTTCAACAAGGAAGTCTTTTCAGGACAAACTGGGCTTGGTTAAGCATCTCTGCTTTCAAACCTGTCTGTTTCTCTGTGGCATGTCCCACCACTCACCTCAGCTCCACAGCACAGCAGTGTCAGGATATTCCAAGAAGTCTCCAAAATCAACAAGAGTGGACCAATACCTAGTATCAGAAGACACACATTAACATTTTTACCTCTTTTTGTTGATTATGACACATCCCAAGGCAAGCCAGATTTAGCGGGGAAGACAAAGAGATTCCACTTACTGTCTGGAAGAGTAGCAAAATTTCATTGCTGAAGACCTGCAAGTTGGGTGATACAGTTACTGCCATGTGGAAACCAATGTCACCCAGCATGATATTTAGAGTTCTTTCAGAAGGCACTTTAAAAGATTCTAGACTAGAATTACCAATTTTGCAGGAGAAACACCAGATTGAAGAGTCCTAAAAAAAATGATTAGCTAAATTTGAAGCTGTTTGAGATGCCCATAGACTGCTACCTGCCATGTCCCTTGCAGCTATAGGCATTCATGGAGCCATGTGACATGTCTACCTGCACTATGTTCTCTGCTGTGAAGCACAGTCGCCTGAGAGCTTCTGTAAAGCTATGGCCTGGACAATATTTTGCATAATGTTTCAATTGGCTTCAGAAGGTTGAGTATGAATTCATTGTTTTAGACTGCCTAGTAGTTCATGAATAGGCATGGTGATCTGAATTAGCGTTCCATGCTTAGGACCTTCTACAAACTAGCATGTATCTAGAAACAGAAACCCTGAGGATGGTACTTAGCAGCAGACTAATCATCTAATTATTTTGGAAAATATACTGATGCCCCCAAGGATAACCTGCAAACAAAGAGTTATAGGCCAAGTCTGACAAGTTTCAGTTATAATGAGATTGTTTGGATCTCAGGACTGTCATCATAGCACTGTTGACAATCATTTCAATGACACAGAAGTTTGCCAAAGTACTAGCCAAACACCTTAACAGAGTTTTGCTTTAGGAAAAAGAGGTGAGGTACATGTGTGTGTTGGGGGTAAGGTAGGGGGAGTTTAAAGGTATAGATTTACATATTCAAAATGTGGCTACTTCGGATTTACTGTTTCCGCAGTAAAATGACATCTTCCCTTGTCTAACTCAACCTTAATGAAATAATTGTTAAGCACAGGGTAGTGAGATTTGTGTTCTTTCACTTGCCGAGTGATATAAATAGATAGTTGAGAAGCTATTGAGAAAGGCAAGCCCTTCAGTCTTTCAAATACTCATTGTAATAGTTGTATAACAGTTCTTTCATGCTAGGATTTCAACTTGTAGAAAATGCTTCACGATGCCACTAAGAAAAGTCTGATGGCAAATAACATTGACTTTAATGTTATTAACTAGGTTGTAATCCATGTATTAAATTGAATGGACAAAAATATTCCTTCATTCACAAGCCCACTTGAATTTTACACTGAGACCCACAAACACAAATTATATGATCTCTACCATAAGTAAATAGCTGGGCCTAAAGGGGAGAACTCATGGAGATGTGTCACAGGTTTGCCAAAAAGTGCACAGCATTTTTAAAGGCTTGAAGGTAAGCATATGGCAATTCTGTAACTATTCTGATACAGTACTCATGGAATTTTTAAAAGCTTGTTACTTTACCTACTACTCTAAAACATGCATGGACTACCTGGGTAAACATTCTGTAACAAGGATAGACGAAAACCTCATTTCTTTGAGTTTCTGAGTGTGATAGGATGTGTGAACATGTGTCTGTATGTGCTTGTGTTCCTGCATGCTTTCACATGGAGGTTTCCAGGTGTGTTGCTCAGTTACCTGCCACTTTATTTTCTGATGCAGGATCTCTCACTGAAACTATGTGCTATTGCTTCAGCTGGGTTGGCTGGCCAGTAACCTTCCCAAATCTTCCCCCACTACCACCATCAATACAATTATAGATATGTGCCTCTTTGGTTGAATTTTAAAAATAATAGTTCAAACATGTCAATGAATGTTCTTTGACAGTTTCATACATGTGTATAACGCACTCTGGTTACTCTACCCCTTCCTTTGCTTTGTCTCCCTCACTCTGTGCCATCACGTTTTCTCTTATGTACAATTCTTTCTTTTGTTTTCCCCAGTGTTTAACTCAGGTCTTCTGTATGACTATGGGTTTGAAACTGGCAACTGGAGACTGGTAGGCTCCCCATTGGATATACAACTGAATATTATGCCTTGCCTCACCTAGAATCTGTT